TCGGGCGCCTCCTGTGTTGATTCTCGCCCAGAGCCTCGCTTCTATGAACTTCGCGGCACCTATACCAACCCCATGGCAGTAGTAATAAGCGAGTTGGACGCAGAACTACGCAATTTGCGCTACACGTAATTCCTTGTCGTTGGATATAGTGTGTCCGAGGTTTTAGTCATGAGTCCTATTCATGTCATGCAGATCTTGGATGGCCCTGAGCAGTGTTCTCAAAGCTCCCGCTAGATCGCCCGCCCAGATTCAATAACATTATGCATGGGAACGCAAAGTTCCATTCGTGAATTACTTCGCGATTCGTACATAGCCCACTCGCGAAATAGAATTATCCGATAACCTCGGTGAGTGGAGCCGAAGCTGTGACTGCTTCCAGAACATCCAGCCTCAATGCCATACAGTCCCAATCAAGGATTTTATGCAGCCCGAGATACCTCCCTGTCAATGATCATGCCGCAGGTTTGGAATAACAAACTTATCATCACTGAAAAGACAATGCACGAAGATTTATCATCGTTGACAGTTCGCCAAGATCGAGAAAAGAAGTCAAACGTGCGGGATGACGGTAGACAATCACGAGTATCGGAGCTTACCTGTTTATTCTGGGAATGGATGTCGGACTGGCGCACACCAAAACTGTACTTGTGAGGCAGAATGGTTCGAGAATCAGCCAAGCGCTGAGGGCCCTGTCCGGAAGGATCCAGAACACGAAGTCAAACGTGCGGGATCAAACTTGACACCCATGAGTATCGGAACTTACCTGTGTATTCTGGGTTGAATCTCAATGGATGTCGGACTAGCGCGCGCCAAAAGTGTACTTGTCAGGCAGAATGGTTCGAAAATCAACCAATCACCAAGGGCATCCGTTCGGAACACAGCTTGGGCTGAGCCGGCATGCCTAGCCATCTGGCATCATCTTCGTCAAATTTGTGGGAGTGAAAAGTGAACAAATATTCTTCGATTTACCCGATGGCAATAGACGGACGCAGAAGATTCAACGTAAATCTGCCAAGTAACTGGCGGGTGTCCTTATTCACGCGGTGGATTCATCCAGGAACTCCACCCATCCTTTTGACGCATACCCATGTCAGTACTTTCTTTTGCTTTTGCCTCTGGCAGTAACCCTGAGTGTGTTATTGATACTGCACCCCAGGTGAGCTGGAAGGGAGATGAGACCAAGCTTTCCGGGCAGATGAATGGCAAAACATATGAGCGCCTTGCTGTCAAGGCAGCCGCATGCATCAGGAGGCCATCAAGAGCTAGCGGGAGTATTGTGGATAGATATAATTAGGCTAATGAGCCCTATTCAGAAAGGCCTGGTGCTGTGCGGTTCCCTCTTGCGTCAGCGCCTAAACGGCGTGCAGTAAGCGAGGATACCGGACTTAGGATGCTCTAAATTTGCCGACGTATCGAACAGAACAACGTATTGGAAGAGGGAAGGAGAAGAAAAACATGTGGTTTGGTAATAAGGTTTTTTTGGCCACAATTAATGTCCCAACCGCGACCTCGCCGATAGGCCTGTTGAGTATACTGTAGCCCTGCTCTCGAGGCAAGCCTGTATAGGGGAATGAATATCAGCTCGTGCTGGCGTTCCTTTCCGTTGAAAAAAAGACATAATTCACCATGTTGTTTAATCGAGTATGTCCGGTGCTGTGTGCCTGAGCACGTAGTGGGATTTTAGAACGGTAGTGAGATTTTTCATGAAGAATTTGTTGAACTACTCTGTCATCAAGGCAGGCAATTGCTGGGTGGAATGGCTGGCATTGAGACATATACACTCCAAGATTACGCCAAAAGTAATTATTCTGAGAGACCTAAAAAGGTGGCCCTGGACAGAGGGGTTGGTGCCTGGGCCTATCATTTCGGCACTGGATGGAAGAGGATACTGGGTCCTTCAAAGTTCGTCCACTCAACTTCCACTTACATCACCCCGTACATTTCGGCGCTGAATGGACAACTTGAATGACATCCGTTGTCAGCGCAAACCCAATGTATTGGGTCTTCTGTGGAACATGCCTTATGCCCATGCTGACGCCCGCGACTAAATTTATCTTCCAACTCATGCTATAAGTGCGGCAGGTAATGACAACAACTTACATCTTTCCCAGTTCAAGGATGAAGCATATCATCCTATCCGCGATATTGTTCGCCGCTATGGTTGGTTCTGCCAGTGCATTCCCGAGTTCGGAGCCTGGGCTGGATATGACAGTCGATATATTCAATGGCGAAACCCTGTTGACATCTCGCTCATCCGCAGAAGCGGTCGTCCAACACCTGTGGAGATCCGACCGATGCCCTGCCCTTCTACAGAATTTATAACCCATCCTCAGTCACGTACCGCTACACCACCAACAGCGGTATTGTCAGCTCCCTTCTCGAAGGCGTCGCTGCTCTCGTTTTCGTCACTCAGGAAGAGTCAACTGTCCCCTTTTATCGCCTAAGCAGTGCCGTCGCGACGGACAACTTTTACACCATTTCGACTACAGAAAGAGACAGCGCGTTACAGAATGGATACACCTTCGGCGGCGCTGGCACGGATTCTGTATACTATATCTATCCGACTCAATTATGCGGAAGCGTTCCTTTCTACCGTTTGTATCAAGAGAGCACAAAGACCAACTTCTATACAATCTCGGAATCGGAGAGACTCGACTACATTGCCAACCATGGATATACCGACATCGAGATTGCGGGATATGTGTTGCCTCTGGCGTCCAATCTGTGTTCCTGACCAGGCATGTTATACAGTCCCCGTGTTCTATACGGCGACTAATGTTTGATTATTACAGTTCGATGTGTGATCCATCGCTGTTGGGAGTTTGATGGCTGAATTTGGTGCTTCGTCGTTGTCTTGCAATCTTTTGAATATCTCCCCATGTTACAATATACTTCAAGTCCTATTCCACCTCATACCCCTGTAAAACAATATGAGTTTTACTTTTGATCTCCGCAATAGATAGAGACGACTTTTCCTACCCCACTTCCCTCAAGATCACGCCCATCAAAAATAAAAGAAGTTGAAGATGCCGAAATCATCGTTGAGATGTCGAATGCCGTGCGGAAAGCTCTACCCTATTTGGAACTATATGGCTCAGTCTCATAAATAGGCATTGGACGAAGAAAGCCTACCTAATTGTGTCTGAATACTGAGTGGAACTTGAACGACGGAATACTTCTCGCCAGTCAGTCAATTCATGAGCGTGGATTGAGGAGAGTTGTGAAGACACAGTAATCGGAAAGTCCAGGTCGAAGGGGCGTTGGGATGGATACTTGACGCGCAGGAAACTTCTCGGTACATCGTTGGAAATCCTGGAATATTATAGATATTCCAAAGTTTCAACTGGGCGCTGTGTCACTCGGCATATGTGGTCTGAATTATTGCGGAAGGGGATATGTAGGTCCGCTGTGGCTATCGCCTTTGGCGATGCGAGCCAAGTACTCCCGCGCCGGCAGCGGGAATTCAGAACTTGAATAACTCCTTAGGATGCCAAACACCGCGGTAAAGATCTAGATAAATACGGCAGGAAATCAGAAATCGAGGCGTGAAGACAGGGATTTTCGTAGAGATCCAGACTTTTAATTCCTTCACAGGTGTCCTTGAAATAACTTACGGTGTTCAACTGGTGGCCATGGGTTGCAGCATCATTTGTGTTTCAGAACCAAAAAATCCGCAACCCACGTCGTCATGGCTCGGGAAGGAGTCGAACAGGCTACTCCTCCAGAAATGGCAGACTTGAAAATGAACACAGTGCAGGCGTGGACCATCCACCACCGAGCCGATATCTTTCCACTTATGACCTCAAATACGTTTGAACATGCCGAGGGTTGAATCAGGACAAGATTCATCACCTGGTTCGGTAAGAAGTAAAGTTGCTGCCATAGTTGAAATTCTGAGCGGATAGTACTGACAATTGCAATAATTGCTCATCTCGCAGATCAGAAATTGAGAGGGAGAACAAAAAACACAAATGGTTTCCAATTCATGGCTCAGGCCCGAATCGAACGAGCTCTCCCGCAAAGACTCATTCAAATTCCCTTATGCATTGCAGGTGTGGACCATCCACCACCGAGCCGATATCCCTCAAACTTGTGCCTCGAATATGTTTGAATATGCCAGGGGTTGAATCAGGACAAAATTCATAACCTGGTTCGGTAAGAAGTAGAGTTGCAGCCATGGTTGAAATTCGGAGGAGATAGTATTGACAGTTGCAATAATTGCTCATCTCACAGATCAGAAAATGAGAGGGAGAACAAAAAAAAAGAATGGTTTCTGCCATATGGCTCAGGCCCGTATCGAACGAGCTTTCCTACAAATAATAGTCCAAGCCACATTCATGTTTTACAGGTGTGGACCATCCACCACCGAGCCTTTCTCATCCTACTTGACGGCTTGAATGTATGCAGGAAATATCAGATTCTTGAACTGGTTTAATTCCTTCACAGGGTTGGTTGAAAACGGCGTTGGTGGCCATGGGTTGCAGCATCATTTGTGTTTGAGAACCAAAAGGAAATCCGCGAGACCTGCAGGGCTCGGGCCCGAATCGAACGGGCTATTCCTACAAACTATTCTGCAACCACATATATTGTGGACCATCCGCCACCGAGCCGATATGTTTCTACTTATGACCTCAGATAAGTTTGAAAATGCCAGGGGTTGAATCGGGACAAAATAGGAGTGTCAATGGTACATTTGAATCTCGCAGATCAGAATTTTAGGGAGAAAAAAAAACGAGGCTCTCCATCATATGGCTCGGGCCCGAATCGAACGAGCTCTCCTACAAATCCTGGTGTTCCTCCACGTGTATTACAGGTGTGGACCATCCACTACCGAGCCTTTCTCATCCTACTTGACGACTTGAATGTATGCAGGAGATATCGAAGATTTTTGAACTGGTTCAATTCCTTCACAGGTGTCGTTGAAATCACTTACGGTGTTGGTGGCCATGGGTTGCAGCATCATATGGGTTTCAGAACCAAAAAATCCGCAACCCACGTCATGGCTCGGGCCCGAATCGAACGGGCACTCCTACACACAGTGATGTTAAACTGACATGTATTGCAGGTGTGGACCATCCACCACCGAGCCTTCCTTCACATGCTTTTAACCTTGAGGTTATTCATCCAAAAATCGCAATTGTGTTTGTACATACTCGTGTTTACAACACACTACAAATCAGCTCAAAAATACCATTCATAGCCGATATGCCGCATGGATTGTTACTTCAATTTGGGGACGGTCAGTTACATACAGTATGATTGCGCCACGGGCAGTAGAGACGAGCAGGGTAATAACCCTGCTCCCCTGCTCATAAATCAAAAAACAAAGGTGCGTTGACATGGCTCGGGCCTGGTTCGAACAGGCGACCTCCGCAAACAATCAGGGTCTTTCCTTAAAAGAAGCGGATGCATTTTACCACTCTGCCACCGAGCCGTTGAGACGGCGCAACACCAAATGCACGTCCTCTAGCTATTTTTGCGCTTATAAACACATCATTAAGAAGTGCAGGATAGCTTCAGTGTTATACAAACATATCTGTATACCTGAACTCTGTTAGGTGATATAAAGGAGAGTCAGAGCGAGCTCCGACTACTGACTGTAGTATTCAGACCGCGGTGACGCCGCGGCGTGTTGTACTCTGAATACACTACCAAGGAGATATACCCATAAACGCCTATAACCTATTCAAGGGATTTATTCCTATAAAAGCGACCCAGAGACTGCATAGATGAAGTGGCGAGACTTAACATGTTGCGCGGTACATTAAACTGCATAGGAGAGCTGCCGCGGTGCCACCGCGGCGCCTCTCTGCCAAAGACATAGTTGTGTTAACGGTTACATTATGGAGGAAAGCGGCCGCGGCGTCCCATAACTGTGCATAACCTACCGCGGAGCCTACTAATGGGCCGCGGTCGAGCATAGACCCATTGTTACCCTAAGACAGGGAACTGCCAAAGCGATCGGACGATCACGTGGCGCCGCGGCGCGACGCGACCTGTCAAATCAAAGACACACAAGTCCTAATTCGGATTCTAGCGATCGGATCCAGGCACTCCGGTACTTCGCAGGCCAAGCACTGCCCACGGCCGGATCCACCAAAGACAGGCACGAGGAGGAATGTATTGAAAAGGCTGGGTTCAACCCCAGGCCGGCGCGGCATCGTACTGCGGGTGCGGAAGGCACCGCGGTATTGCCAATATACCAAATATAGACCGCGGGGGTCAAAACCGACGATCTCCCGGCACCAAGAGCATGCGGGATCGACGAAGAACCACGAGGGAACGAACCTACATGACCAAGCACCACATCTCAGTTACCATATCTAGTTTATCTCCTTTCGTTTGTACTATTACTATAAAAGCAGCCTGTAGAACCCGCATACAGCCAGTTCATCGCACCGTCTATCGGCGTGGGTGTACTCAGGCATATTTCGCGGAGATTCATTTACTATCTCTGTTTGTAACTTGTCTATAAATTGAAGTTGGTTGTTGGCTCGAATTGTCAAGCAAGGGACTCATCAGTTAAGCTTCAAACGGTTAACCACCTGAGAATTGGTTGTGACTTGTCAGCTGCTTTGCCTTCACACTCGTCAGGGAGAGTCCTGTCATTAGCTGTTGGATCGATTAGTTGGACTTTGCAATCAACGCTTAAGCCGTTACTATAAAAGTGAAGGAAACATCCCTAAACGAGGACAAGTTTAGGTCTGCTGTACGGGAGAGTCCTGCAGTAAAGAGAATTGCCAAGGAAGAAACAGCTTGCCTCATTATAGCAATTAGAATTGGCCATTGCTGGGGATATTTTGTGAACACCAAGTACAAACTCTGCCCTGAAGCGATAGAACTATCTTTATAGTCACTACCTTCTTGTATCCGTCTCATACAAACGTTCATCCAACGCCGCGGCGGAAAGATAACTGCTGTAACTTGCCAAGTGAAGTGCCGCGGGGACTTTGTTAGTGCCTCATAGTACTTGTTTCGTTGTTAACTATACAATCCAAACCTGCTGGCCGCATACTACAGTCCGGACCCGAACTCACCTAAGGATTGCGCTAGTCTTTTGGGAGTGATAAGATATTGTTTGTGTGGTTTTAGTGTTGTTTCACAACACGCTATAACTAAGCATATTCAAGACGTATTGTAAGCGCACCGTTTCACCGTGATGAAGAAGTGGTAGTGACATGGGAATCCGAAGCTGTTGTTCGGGATACTTCTTGCACCCGGTGGGACTGTGTGGTGTAGTGCTACTTACCTACCTACTGGGAGAACCAAATAATGAACAGAATAAGGCACTAGTGAAATCGCCGAGGAACGGAGGGAAATCCCCACCGGACACAAAAAGTGCCAAGCCAAAAAGCAACAATAGATAATGCTTATGGCTCGGGCCTGTTCGAACAGGCAATCTCCGCAGAAGCAATCTTCGTATAGCTCTAAAAGCAGCGGATGCATTACCACTCTGCCACCGAGCCGTGATGAAGGGACAGTGACATGAATACCAGGGGGAGAAGTGTTATTCCGGGAGATAATGAATTCAGTCAAAAGAATAATGTATTAGTGAATGGATGCAGCTGCAGGCATCGAGCGATATGGTATGAGAGGGAAGGAAATTTAAACGAACAAAAAGTGTTGGCAAATCGATGCAAAACATCCAGAACTGTCAAATGGCTCGAGCCTGGTTCGAACAGGCGACCTCCGCAGGAGCCATAATTGGCTTCTACAAGACGCGGGTGCATTACTCTGCCATCGAGCCGTTGACAAGGAGATTAGCTAAAGGCTAAAGCCGAAGCCGAAACCGACAACTCCGAAATGAGACAGGGGCTCCAAAAATCACGTCACAAACACCGCCTTTGTGACGTGGCGTGTGGAGTGTAGGGCCGGGCCAGGCGCGTCCTGACAAATCTCTCCTTTTCTCTTGTTTTCTTGTTTCCTCACTTGCTTTTGCTTGCACCGCGACTAAAGACTAGAGTAAAAGACACAAACACTTGGGTACTTTAACTTAGAGCTTCGCCACCATGTCAGCCTCCCCCACGTCGCTGGGCGTCGGAACGCCCTTTGCGTCGTCCGCGTCGTCCTCGCCGATGCCCGCGCGCCTGTGGTCGGATTTCTCGTCCGTGCCTGCGAGCACGGCTGCGAGCTCGCCTGCGCCTGAAGACGATGGAGAGAACGAGATGAAGGTGTGTCTCCTTTTTTTTTTAAAAAAAAAAAAGTGTGGCGCGTACTTAATGACGGCGCGCAGGACGTGGACGCGAATATCGCGGAAAGGGATGTAGAGGGAGAGACCCCGTTCTTACACGGCGTCCCCGTCTCTGTCTCTGTCACCAAATTCAAATCCGAGGAGGAAGACGCGTCCTCCTCCCCCTTACCTCTCGACGACCCCGCCCAAATCGAAATCGAACAAGAAGGCGAACTCACCGCCACCCAGCTCTCCCGCCTCGAGCACGTGCTCGAGCGCAGCGCGCTCTACAGCACGATCCTGAAGCAGCAGATGGACGACGCGCGGGCGCGGCATGCGGAGGAGAGGCGGGTTGCGTCTCAAAAACAAAATTCTAAAAAACAATCACCGAAGAAACGCGGGAAGGGCCGCCCCGCGAAGAGGCGACGGACTGTGGAGGACTCGGATGACGAGGAGTCTTTGCCCCTACAAAGTGCAAGTAACGAAGCCGGAGAAGACGCAAAGGAAGAGCCGCCTTCCCCCAACCCGCGCTCGTCTCCGGCGCCACGCTGAAAGACTACCAGCTCGAGGGCCTGCAGTGGATGGTGGGCTGCATGAGCAGGGGATTAGTGGGATTTTGGGTGCGTTTCTGGTTTCTTCGGTCTTCATTTTTTCGATTGTTATACGTGTTTTTTGTTTGGGGGGAGTGGGGAAAGTCGGTGGCGGTCGAGGCGTTTTGGGGGGTTTAATACGCGTGCGCGTTTTGAGCCGTGGCGCGAGCTTTTATTTTGGCCGTTTATTTCATTTTTCTCTTCACCCTTCACCCTTCCCTCTCCTTCTCCTTCCCTCCCTCTCCTCCTTCCCTCCTACTCAACTAATACGTTTCGCAGCCGACGAGATGGGCCTCGGCAAAACCCTCCAAACCATCGCCTTCGCCGCGCACCTCCGCGCCACCGGCACCCGCCCCTTCCTCGTCGTGTGCCCGCTCAGCGTGCTGCATAATTGGGTCGAGGAGTTTAGGAGGTTCGCGCCGGGGGTGAGTTGTTTCTTCTCATGCATTACTCGCATGTCTTCTACGAGTGGAGCGGTGAGAGGAGGGATAGAGGAGGAGGGGAGGAGGGGACGCCGAGGCACTGCGTGTGGTACGCGCTGGCCCGAACGAAGGAGCGAGGCGCTTCCGGACTGCCCGCCACCGCCGTGTTTGTCTCATGCGGGCGCACCGGCGTGGAATGTCTCGCTGTGTCGGGGGTCAGCGCAACAAGACGCCCATCCTCTCTCGCTTTTCCTCCTCTTCTGCTTTTCCTACTCCTTATATGTAGGTCTCTGTGGGTCTGTGTGGCAACTTTGGATTTTCCTGATTTGTTCCTGATGTGAGTCAATTGATGGCCAAGGGAAGACACATGCGCGAACAATAACCGCATTTTCCTCTTACCACCACCACCCCAGCCGCGGCCCCACTCAAACAAGTACACCAAAACATCGGCAGCGCTTCAAAATTTTCAACGACATTGCCATCGACGGAGGCTCTGTCATTGATTCACGGGGCGGAGGCACTCGTGGCCACCCTATATGAGATCTAGAGTCAGGTACGTTCAGCACCTGTAGATCGCCGCTGAAGCGATCGCGTCCCCCCGTAGTGCTGTAATGTATATTGATAGGGAAAAAAATCACCCCCGATAACTGCGCGCCGCGATGCGAAGCGCTCAGTTCGTCTTTCTTCTCCACCCTTGGTTCACATTCCCGTTCAAGGCAGATGCTTTCAAGCCATTGGACTTAGGCACACAAGCTTGCGCGGTCACTTTTTCGTTACGAAATAGGTTAGGCCTAACGAACACGGCCAGGAGGGGCTCAGGGTACGTCTGAATAGACGGCGCAACCCCTACACTCAATTCCTGCCATTGTTCTCGCCGCTGGCTGTCGTATTTCGACTTGGTGTGCCGGCGATTCGGTATGCCAATCTGCGAGTTCTGGTGCAACTCAGTTGAACTGCACCAACTCTGAATTATTCATGCCTATTGACGCAGTGTTTCTGGACAGGGAAAATCAACCTTGATACCAGAATCATGTGGGAAATGCATTCTGACAAAGACCTATTTTTGCTGTCCCTCTGGTCGATAACGACATGAGCAGTAAAGGGTTCACCTCTGGGTCCAATGAGGGCTGCTGGCCACCGTCTCCCATTGATCTTTCATGAAGGAGTGTGAGAAGAACCTAAGATTATCCCTTCTGGTGACAGAGGCATACATGATGGTCGCAATTCAGGCTTCTCTCGAGCCACAAATGGT